AAATTACTGTGACAGTTGTTTAAGGTTAAGGTGTAGGGGTAGAGGTTAATATTATACAATTAATAGGAAATTTAATAAATAATATAGATAATTCTCGTTAACTTCCAGCCACAGCTGTATGTGATCTATAGCTGATTAACCATATGAATGGATGATAACTGCCTTCTGAGCCTACCACTTGGTGCAGAAGGCCCCTACTGGCCCATTTCTATCAGCTGATAACCACTGATAACACCCATTTAACTTTCGAATTTGTTTTGTTAAGAAAAGTGAAAGCTCCGGCAACATATAAATGTTTATTTTTAGAGAATAAACGAAAGATCCAACAATGTTTACAACTATGAGCCTCACAAAATGTTTAAATACAATTTGAAAGCTAACTTATTTATTAAGGAGAGTTATTATTTTTTTTATCCATAAATGTTTAAATAGGCAACTTATGTGTTTCTCTTTGAACAAAAATATCATCTTCACAAGTTTTTTAAATGTTCAAAACATTTAATATCATAGTTTCCCCTGCCTTTTAAAGTTCCCAAATTTCTTGAGAGAAACGAAAGCTCCAGAAACATCTCAAATTGTGCTGTAACTTCAAATTTTACAGCGTTAACAACATCACAAAATGTTAAGATGAATAATAAACAAAAGAAAGAACCAACAATGATAATATGGCGCCACCTACATTTCACACAAGTCAGTTTTTACACTCAAACTCAGAGAAAGTTTTGATTTGAGATCGATGAAGACTCGTCCTGCACTGAAAAAAAAAACTGATTCATTGGATTTACTGCCTTTTTTCTTAAGGTATGTAGTTTCAAACAATTGATATGGGCTGAATTTAAACAAATTAGGTTGAACTTTACTTAATTTGAGTTTGTCTGTTTAAATTCAGCCCATATGAAATGTCTGAAACCCCTTGAATTGTTCTTTTTTCAGTGTGTTGCCGCTCTCAGATTGGCAATCCAGTTATCCCTCAGTGCAGCCGTGTGGACTGAAGGTAATAATACACGAGGACTGGTCTTCAAAATGTTGTGTTTGGTGTTATTTCGCTCCTCGATGCCGCTGGAGAAAGCGTGTTTGGTTGCTCAGTGAACTGTCGAGATGTCTCACAGATTTGTGTGTTCTAAAAATGGGGTTGCAGGTCCAGAACGGGAGAGGAGAAAGGAGGTTTTGTGGTCCAAGTCTGTTCAAACCTGGCTGTTCTGATTAAAAAAGGCACTTATTAACTTTATCTGTGCTGTTTTCTTTCATGCATGTTCAAAGATGGAGGTGGATTAGTGTTTTGAGTAATTGTGCTTCAGAAAGTATAATGTGTGTGCGGCGTTGCCAACTATTTTCAATGGAAAGGCTGTAAACTCGAAAAAGCTTGAAAAGTCGCTGGATTACGGCAATTTGCTAATTACTGACGTCATCACGTCCAGCAGTTTCTACGCTTTACACAGGCATGTCTTCAATGTATAGTTGTTTGAATACAGGATATCAGTACAGATGGGTAGTGAGTTTGCAGTAATCTCTCAGACTATATAAACTAAACTAAAATATCTGTGATTGTCAACAAGAAAAGAATAAACAGTCAAATTACTTCTATTTAGTCATTTATATTTAAAACAAAGGAGAAGCAGATCGGTTTGACTGTACAAGGGAAATGCCTCACACTCGCGGTGCTAAATCATTTGTACACAGAGGGGTGATCTGCTCTCGGGCTGTAGGTGTGAGAGACGGCTGTGTGGTAATGAGTCGTCTGTGAGTGCTCTGATGCGGGGGAGGGGCCGACGGCATTACCCACAGTCGTTGAGGAGAGTACGAACGGTACAGTATGGACATATGAGAGTCGTAGATTTGTGGCTAGTCACTTTTTTGAAAATGTGTCGCTAAGGGGGTCTGAAAAGTTGCTAAATATAAGGATAAAGTCGCTAAGTTGGCAACACTGGGCCCTATCATACAACTGGCGCAAGATGTTCTTCTATGAAGTGATGCTATTTTCAGACCTTAATTTTCCCGTTTTCCACCACGTTGCTTAAATAGCAAATCCATTTGCACCGCTTTGTGGACTCATGGGTGTTTCGCTCAAGAAAAGTGGTGTGTTAAGGCGTATTGCTGTGCTATTTTGAGGAGCCAACATAGACTGTGCAAACTCCAGCGCAGATTGCTTTAGTTGTGCTCCTCGCTTACACATTGCTTAATACACACAGGATGTACAGCAATACGCAAATATCTTTACAAATGAAAAATGATTAAAGGGTTTGTATATTACAAAAATTATTTTCTTCTTTTTTTAGTTTATTCATGAATATTTGCTTTTTTGTAATGTTGTTATTATTATCATTATTGATTATATGCATATTCATATTTGTTTTATTAAAAACAAGCTTAGATTTGTCCACCTGCAGGTTTAAGACCCTCTGGGTCACAGCTCAAGAATAGGATGTGTGTTTGGATATAACTCAGTTTTTTGAACACACTTGGTTAATATTGTTCATTTATTTGTTTGCTGGAAATTACAACTGAATTTAGAAATAGTTTTAAAGCAAATCTTTGCGCTTAATAAACTAAATTAATTATGTAGGCTAATGAATGTCTGTGCAGTGCGTACAACACGTTTCCTTATCCACGAAAGACAGAAAGTGGAAGTAAAGAATGAGGAGGCTCATCTCTCATTGTCTCACTGTAGATGCTCTATTTAACTGTTTTCTCTCTAGTAAAGCGTTCAGTTTTTCCACTTACAAAGTCTGTCATGTAAATAGCAAATGCGCCATGACGCAACTGACTCGTAAAGGGGATGGGAGATGAGACTCTGATTGGTTTATTCTCAAAACACACCTTTAACTCATTAAGAGAATAAGCTCAACTCTGTTAGACCAGGGGTTTTCAAAGTGTGAGGCGCGCCTCCCCTGGGGGGCGCTAGAGGATGTCAGGGGAGGCGTGGGAAAAAAATTTATATAATAAAAATATAATTATTCAGTTTAATTATTATATGTATTTTTTATTATTTTTAAACGTTTTAATTAAACAAAGCTAAAAAAATAATACGTCAAAAATAAGAAAACCTTTTTTACCCAGAAGGCCATAGCTGTGAATTCGCTTCTGTTTGGCAAGCCCGCCAATACAGGTACAGGCCTGCTAATCATGCTGCTAATACAATGGATCGGTTTCTGAGACCCCCCGATTCAAAGCCTTCAAGTTCAAAAGACGACGATATGATGGTCAGTATTTGAGTTTAGGATTTACGTGGACAGGACCAGCTGATGAACCAGGACCTTTGTGTGTGGTTTGTCAAGATATTTTGGCTAATGACAGCATCAGACCCGCTAAACTTCGGCGACACCTTGAAACCAAGCATGATGAGGTAGCAGGAAAACCTCCAGAATTTTGTGTGTGTGTGTGTGTGTGTGTGTGTGTGTGCGCGTGTGTGTTTGGGAGGAGGGGGCGCCAATGGATAAGTTGTGTCAAAAGGGAGGCCCACTGTCTTTGAAAAACCCTGTGTTAGACCATGCGCCACAGCACAGAGCAAATTTTTCCGTCATAAAAATGGCAAAAGTTGATTCTTACACACTCTTGATGCTTTTGCACCCTGCACTTTGCGCTTAGATCGTTAAAATAGAGCCCTGTGTGTGTGTGTGTGTGTGTGTGTGTGTGTGTGTGTGTGTGTGTGTGTGTGTGTGTGTGTGTGTGTGTGTCACAGGGCAGTGGTTCCCAAACTGGGGTGCGCAGTCTGACCCCCAGGGGTGAGTGAGATTTGTAATGGTGGAAAATGTTATCTTTTGTTATCTTTTTATTTAACTGAAATTAATTTTAAAAAATGAATAATAGAGTTATGACACTAATGAGAGTGACTGATGTGAGTTTAATGAATGGAACCCTTCCCTTACAGAATGAATTTTGAACTTAATGAATTTTCATTGAAAAGGTGCTAAAATCTGCTCGAAAAGTCACTAAATGTCGCTGGATTACGTTTATCGTTTGTCGATATGCATATTACTGACGTCATCACGTCCAGCAGCTTCTTCGCTTTATCTATCTAATAAATAAATTGACTTTACCGATGAGATTAAGTTAATTGTTTAATGTGTGGTTAGGTTTAAAACAGCAAAAACAGTGTTATGTGTTCCATAAAGCCACTTTCGCTCATACAGAAAGGTCTGTATGTGTGAACAGGCCCTTTTTGAAAATACTAGTTAATTAGTTCTGGAAATTTTCCATAAAGAGAAGTTGTAACAGTACCGGTAATTTGCCAGAGGAAAATTTGCCAGAAAGATCACATTTACGATTAGAACGCGCTGACGTGAGACGTCTACTCCAGTCAAGGATTAGAAGGACAAACTGTTTTTTTTTTTTTCTTCTTGACATGCAAAGATGAATTGTTCATCACAAAACTAGCAATAGAGCTAACAAAATCATCTGGCTAGTTTTGATTTCTTGGGGACTTTAACATTAATTCGACGTCCCTCTGCATATCTGCCCAATGACACTTAAAAGCATTAAATGGGTTCAAAAACAATTAGGCATTTATCAATTGTGTACAATTAAACCGTACATCAAAATATTACTTTGATTAGCCCTATGTGGGTGTATACATTATCTAATATAATCAAAGTTTCGATTTTGTCTTTATTAAGTTTCATATAAAAACTTAAATAATAGGCTAAATAATAAATTTAATAAAGTAACACTAGTGTTACTTTATTAAATTGATTATTTATTATTTAAGTTTTTATATGAAACTTAATACCTTAGAGACAAAATCGAAACTTCGATTATATTAGATTCTATTTTGCAACGTTGAGGCGTTAATGTTTATTTTTTCAAATAGTTTTTTTTCAAAGGAATGTAAAGTTTGGCATGTGTAAAAATATACAAAATAAAAATACTCTCGCGCACTCTACTATGAAAATAAGGTGGTGTAAAGTGCGTTTCTAACATAGACTGTAAAAATACGGCTTTTCTAACGGCTTTGTCTATGGAAATACATTACCCATGATGCTTCATCCTGTCTCCATCCAGTGACGAGTTTGCTCGCAGACGGAAGAGCAGCGCGAGATATAAACAACTCGAGGCTTTAAACAAGGAATATTTGATAGACAACACGGATGTAATGTAAGTTAAATTGATTGAGAATAATCACTGTAGTATACAATGTCACATATGTTAATTTTTTGTGCACGCGGTCAAACACAACAACAGTTTAAGCCTGTTTCTGCAGAGACTTGCTTTAAAATGTCTTTAATATTTGACTCGTCATGTAAAATCAAACTTACAGTACAGCATCAGTAGCTCATATTTGTTTAGATATGGGTAAAGTTGGTTTTAAATTAGCACATTCTAGCTTTTCTTTTATAATATAAATTCATAAAAATATTGTTTCAAATTCTTAATATGGAAATCATATTAACAGTCAATGACTATCAAATTACAGCATTGTTTACAGTCATTTAAATAGTGCCAATGTTGTTTTGAAGTCATACATGCCAATTTAGACCGAATATTCAGAAATAGCGTGGTAAACAATAGAGAGAGCGTGTCACTTATCAAAAACGAACGACTATAAAACCAACTTTACCTTGTTAGCATACTGACTCTGTTATTTATTTGCATGAATTACAAGGCTTTCATACAGCTAACGTAGCTAGTAAATAAATAGCGTTAACCTTTACTGTTAAAGTTACTGTTTCTATTTATTTTTATTAATTTAGTTTACTGTTTAATTATGATTACTGTTGTTGTATTATCTCAAATTACACAAATACAAAGCAAATGTAACTTTACACAACATAATACAAGGGCAAATGTAAAACAAATAGAAAATATACACTATAAATGTAACATTATAAATGAAGGTGATACGGTTTATTGTTGTAAGGTGACTAGGGTAAAACATAAATGTAACAGCATACCTCTACAGTTGATTTTACTAGGAAAGTTTGTATTTGTATTAGACCTTTTGTATTAGAAGTTTTCTAAAATTCTGTTTAAAGATGCAAATAATGCGCTATTATTTGTGTCCATATTCACTGATTGAACGAATGAATTTATTTAACGGGGACAATGCACAAAAATTACATTAACCTCAAAGAGGAAAGATGCATTGTGCCAGGTTGTAGCAGGATTGCTATTTTCCACCTGCTCTCCCTGGTTGGACAGGTAAAAAGTGAAACAATAATATCCAATTAGTAAAAAAAAAAATCAGTTTAAAACATTCAGGCATAATCGCATATAAACTAAAACACTGACAACTCAAAAACATCTCACTCAGTGTGTACAAACTTGATTTGACAAAAAAACACCTCCTAGACAGGCGTGAAAACATCTTATAATTCGTACACGTGATTGTTTCTGTTGGGAGAAAATTCCATAGATTTGAGGCTTTATAAATCAAAGAGGATTGATTTACATACATATGTGTCTTACATATGTGTACATTGTATAGAGTAAAGTAAATATTCACACATTCAGACTTTCTCCTTAATAATATAATTCCTGAAAATGTTTCCTTGCAGACTCTAAATAGTGGAATCTTATTAGCAGCTACTGTCCTATCAAAGTACAACATTGTTTACAATCAAATAAATGGTGCTAATGTTGTTTTGAAGTCATACTTGCATGTGATTTTAGACCGAATATTTAAAGTACCATGGTAAACCATATTGGGAGCACGTCACAAGTTGTCACTGAATGAATGTGCGAATATAAAACCAACTTCACATCACAGTTGTATAAAGTCAGGTTCAAATCCCTTGTTTCATTCGTTGTACAACCAAATTGAGTTTAGCATGTTGTACTTCTTAACCTTATTACTATTTTAAAAGATCAGTGTTTAACATGTTTCAGAATGGGAAAGTAGCAGCTGAAGGAGGGAAAACTCCCTCGTCTGAAGACGGTTTGATCAGTCATGGCTTCTGAACTCCACGAAGCCATTTTTATGGCCAAACAAGAGAGACACAAGAATCTTTTCCTGAACTACAGAAACCTCAATAATTTCCCTGTGGAACTGCTGAAAGATGAAGGCATGCAGTTCCTTGAGCGTCTCTTTATGAAGAGAAATTCCCTCACCACACTGGTAAGATCCATCTGCATTTATAATTTGGCCCTTTTTTAAAGTAAAGTATATATTTGTCATACTAATACTGCTTTCTTATCATCAGCCAGAGAATCTGGCTCAGAAAATTCCCAACCTCATTGAACTGTAAGTATTTATCAGAATTATTTTTGTTTGTTTAAAGTCTTATAATGTTATGTGTCGAATTCTGTTTCAGCTCAGTTTTGCATTCCCACTACACTAACTGCATAGATATATACACTAGATATCGCATACGGACCCTGAGCATGCGTCAATAGTGCCGCCACATTTGTACAGTGCTCCCAGTACAAATGTCATTCCACCGCGCTAGTCAAGACTTAAAGGGCCATGAAACCCCCTTGTTTCAGCAGGGTGTTTTCACACCTCTACTTTGGAAAAAGTCAGAAAAGTGGGCGTGTCCAGCTTTGTTTAGGGGGGATATTTGATTCGAGTAACTGCTCTAAGCGTGTATTTTTCATGCAATGTTGATACCGCACGGCGAATGAGAGAAAAAAAAAAACTCCGCATTTCCTGGAAACTTTGATGCACACAGCAGGTAGCGTCAGAAAGCCGCGTGTGTTATTCCGGTCACTAAATGCAGTGAAAACCCTACACGAGGTTAAAGTTTGGTTGTAGTGCTAACATTTTTACACTCGGTGCAATAGTTAACTTAGTTCGATACGAACAAACTGAATAAACAAAGAGCACTGGTTGCTCACTTACCAAATCTGTAGAGACAGGACAATCCCCAGTAACTAGAGCCGCGTCTTTATTAGGAGGAGACTACAAGCGAATCCGGATCTCAGCGCTTGCAGATGAGAACAGCTCTCAGGTAAACAATGTTCCTCCTTAGACACGCAAGTTGTTGTTGTCGAGCGTCGCGTACACTGTTAATCCACACGTGACTCCAGCTGAGCTCTCACAGAGAGAAAATGAAAACAAAACTTAACTGCAGCAAACTATAAAAGCAACACTTCACGCTTGTTTTGCCAATACAACGTGATGTGAGTGTCGTCTAAACACTACGACAGTAATGAATATTAATGAAGTTGCACAATAGAGCGCGCTGATTGGTTTGAACCAAGCTTTACTCATGCATTTATGCATCACACTGTAAGACGTAATAAGACTCACTCTGGCACAGACGCCCAGTCTGCACGCTGGAATACAGGCTATTATGTCATGACCGTGACGCAGCTTCAAAAATTAGTTTCAAACCGGAAGTACGAATTTGCTTGAAATAACGCAAAAACAACCAATTTACACTTTTTAGTGAAATATAGGTGTCCTAATAGTGTTTTTAGCAGTGTGGGACACATATACGACTGTCAACAGCTCAAAAAATGTGTTTTGGTGTTTCGTGACCCTTTAATGACGATGTGAAGATTCTGGACTTTAGCACTGTGTACGGTTGTAGAAACAAGCAAACAAAGAAAACAAAGCACAGAGACATAACATTTCATAGGTAAGATTTGGTTTCTTGTGATTTTGTATACTACAAACTTTTGTGCTCAACAAGTTTTGTTATTGATGATAATACAGACTTACTGCATTGACCATAAGGCAAATCAGCACAAACTCGCACTAAACACTCGGCTTATGCTAGTTTTGTTGAATAAAATAAGCAAACAATGTAAGTGAACGAGTCATTCATAATGAAGATTCATTCACAAAGGAATCACTCCCTCCGTTAGAATGAGAAGGGAAAGCGGGTGAGGGGGTTTGTTTCAGGACATGGATTAGATCAAATTTAACAGGGAGGGACGATAATACATTTCCATGCACATGTAACCCTGGCGGTTCTACACCACCCAACCCACTCCAAGCTGGGATCAAACCGGCGACGTCCCGCATGGAAGTCGGTTGCTCTACCAAGGAGGCTAAAGACCATGGCCTCTAGTGTCCATCGCTAGAGCACCTTTAGGGGTCAGAGGAGTGAGGTTTACCTGCACAGCACACAAACACACACTCTTTGTCAGGAATGCCCATGTGGTCACTTATCCATTGATGTGGAAAAGTAATGTAAAATTATAACTTTTGTCATTTATTAAAAGTATTTGCATACTGAACAGTGGGGAAACTCACGATCATCGATATATGTATATATTTATGGCTCCGGATGGCCAGTCCTCCACTGCACCTTGGTCCCACATTTATTTGAAAGGAGCGCTACTCTGTACTAAAATGGCGGCGCCATTGACACATTCCTTCTAATAGACAACAATAGTGTAGGCAACATCTAATGTAAATATCTATGCGCAAACTGCATATCCCCCTACAGAGCGCAGGTGCTTGTTTTATGAACAGTTGTTGCTAGAAGGGATACAGCTGCGGCCAGAAGTTAACAAAAGTTATTTATAATAGTTATCGAATTACCCATTAATTGTATTTTATTAAAGTCTAAACCCAACCATAACAATAATGTAAAACAGTAGTTATACCAACTATTATTCGTTTTAATTATTAAATTAGCCATTAAATTGTATTTTATTAAAGTCTAAACCCATCCATAACTGTATTGTAAAACAGTAATTATACCAAGAATTAGTCCTATTATCTATTAAATTACCAATTAAATTGTATTTTATTAACGTCTACCACTACTCCAACTCTAAACCCAACCCTCACAGTAATGTAAAAATATTAAATATTCTTGTAGAGTGTTGCAAAAATGATGCTATATTGATGTAATCAGCTGCAGCTGTGTCATATCTAGACTTTACCACAGTGGAATGAGCTCATGACGACACTCTGTTCGTGGGATATGCTGTTTGCCTTGCGGGAACATTAAGAAAGGCAACACAGGATTTGACACAACGGTATTCAGTAATACAAATATAACATTTAAAAAAATTGCTTTAGAGCACACTTTAACTTATTTTTTCATAATTTTCTATACAAGAATAACATGTTTTACTGGCAACAAAACAATCTGGGTAATTTTATTTAATCAATGTAAGTTAGGACTGATTTTTATTATTATTTATTTATATGCAAGAATGTTTTTGTCATGTGAAACATTGAACACTGCAACACTGTCAATCTTTGCAAATTTATAATTTGTGAAAATACCACAATAATACCATATACCATGATAAAAGAGTCAGCAATTGTCTTATACAAATGTGCTGCAGTCAGTGGTGTTCAACTGTAATATTTCTGTTTTCCAGTAGAGGTCACTCCATCACTGCGATGCTTTTCTTTCTACCCAGTTAGAATCAGCTGTATGCGCAAAGTTTGAGTTTTGTCAAATCTGATGATGAGTATGAGATTATGAAAATTAAACTCACAAACTCTTGTTTGTTTTCTTAGCTACCTGCACTCAAACAACATTGCAATAATTCCTCAAGGTAATGGTGTTGTTTTACTAAATAAAGCAGTCTTCCGGTGTCAGATGCATTATTCATTGCATGTAACATGTTGTTGTTGTTGTTGTTATTGCAGCAATCGGTGAGCTGGTGAAGCTGCAGTCATTGGACCTGAGTGACAACGCTCTGCAAATCATCTGCCCAGAGATTGGTCAGCTGCGCTCATTACGACACCTACGATTGGCCAACAATCAACTCAAATTCCTCCCGCAAGGTGAGTCATTTAGCACACATTTATTGACTTCAAATGTGAATGAGTGAGGTGCTGCTACAGTATTTGATGCTACTACATATAAGTGTGTGTATATATTATAGATGGGCATAGATTTATGTGTTTAATCTAGATTAATCTAGGAATTAATCTAGATTTTTCTAGATTAAAATGGCTCATTTGAATTCTGCCGAAGGCATTTAAAATATGTGTGTTACCCAAATAATAAGTCTTTGAGAACGGGTTTCTCAAGCCAGGTGGCACATTAGACCAGAGGCTCATCTCCTGTTTCCAAAATGCATCACAAACTGCTTGAGAAACTGTTCTACTATGATAATTGGTGATGAAAATAAAGGATGTTCAATAAGATGTACTTGTGTTTACTAACTGTTTATTTAGTTAAACATGAATTTTGAACTGTAGGCCTACATAAACTCCAAACAGCGATTTTTTTTTTTTTTTTTTTTTTTTTTTTTTTTTTTTGTAATCTTATGTTGTGATACTGACCTTTACCAGTTAAATATTTATATTAAATTTTATTAGTTTTTATGTCATATTGAAATATGACTAAGAGAGACGTATTATGAAATAATAAATCATTTTCATGTATACACACAGCAATAAAAATATTATATAATATGAAAAAAATGAAGAGATCATGTGAAAAACTTTTCAGATTTTTTTGTAGTTTTTATTGGTCAGATCACCAAATGTTTTTATTTTCATTTTTGTGACTGAAAATCAGGGTTTTATGTTTGGAAACCTGCCTAATGAGTTACTCTCAAACTATCTTAGCTTTTCCCCACATTTTAGCCATGTAGTTAAAAATTTGGGAATGAATTTGGACAGTAGTTTAATATTTGATAAACAGGTTAAATTAAGTGATCAAGCTTTTTCCAGCTTCGCCTTCTTGTCAGAGTCAAGCCATTCCTGAGCCAGCGTGATCTAGAGAAAGCCATTCATGCTTTTATCAGCTCTTGTCTCAACGATTGCAATGCACTTTATGTTGGAATTAACCCAACTTTATCGGTTACAACTGCTGCAAAATGCTGCTGCTTGTGTGCTGACAAAAAGTCGGAAACTTGAGCACGTCACATCTGACTTTTACTCTCTTTACTGGCTCCCATGTAAAGTCAGAATTGATTTTAAACTACTGTTGTTTGTTTTTAATGCAGTAAATGGTCTTGAACCTTCATATTTATGTGAGATTTTAAAGGATTATAAACTGAACAGGGTCCTACGATCAGCAGATCAGTTGTTGCTGGAGGTCCCCAGGTATAAACAATGCGGTGATCGTTCGTTTTCAGTGGCAGGTCCAAAACTGTGGAACACCCTATCTTTAGAACTTTGCATCATCACAGATTTAAAGCTAAAGCTAAACTTAAAAACTATTTGTTTAGACTTGCTTTTGATATTCTGGCAAACAAAATGCTGTTTTATTGGCACTCGAGTTCTTACCATCTTATGTGTTTACATTTTCAGACTCAACTTTATTATCCCGCTTAGGGAAACTAAAATGGCAGCAAGGTGCCGTAACACAGGCGAAGTTCCATGTACACATTAATAAAATACTACCCCACAACATACAATACATCACATTGTAGGTGCATCTCCTTCCCCCCTAAACTCATTTAATGACCTAATGGCCACCATTATAAAAATATATCTAACTCTATTTGTCTTGCTAATAGGAACTCTAAAATGACGTCCTGATGGCAACATCTTAAACACAGAGTACAACAGGTGATCCAGGGTGCATAGGATACCCTGAGCTCTCTTTAAAACACCAGTATGGTAAATTACCGTTGGACCAGTTTGGGTAAAACCAATGATCTTGCCTGCCACCTTCACTAGGCTACTCAACCTGTTCTTGTTTAACACACTCAGATTACCGTACCAAGCTACAATGCAGAACGATAAAACAGATTCAATAAATAGTTTAAAAAACAGTGTCATCATAGAGGTACAAACCTGAAACCATCTAAGTTTCCTCTGAAGAAACGGTCTTTGTTGGACTTTTTTATTCACCTTATTCTTTGCGTATGAGCGGGCGCAGCCATTTGAATCTTTTTTGGCTCGAGACTTCCGGTCTCATTCACTTCCATTCATTTTTAGACGTTAAAAACTGCTTGTTTCGCTGTTTGATGTTGCAAACTTATATTTCCTGATTATATTATTCTACTTGGTCTGTATAGTCATGCAAACACTTGTTTGTAGAGCAAGTAGTTTGACCGTTTTCTGCTGTTTATTATTCCTAGTCATTTCTCCCATAGGCCACTGAATCGAAAGTTCTAAAACAATCGCCAAAACAGGCGCACTTCCGCATTTTAGAATAAGGTCAATAGACAGCCTGAGTGTTCGGTTGAAATGTCAACATATTATCAATAACCACCCTTAGATATTTATATGTGTCCACAATTTCAATGTACAAACCTTTAGAGTATTAAAAACAAAGTTACAAATTCCTGTTGTGGAAGAATTTACCTGCTGGTGTAATAGATTTTCTCTCCAGTTAAATGTAAATAAAACAAAAGACATGGTGATAGATTACAGGAAGGCTTCTCGTACCCACAGCATAACAAATATTAAAGCTCTTCGGGCAGCCTGCTGGTTGTAATAAGGTGCTATATAAGTAAAGTTTGATTGATTGATTATTCCACCATTTATTCATTTCTAAACTCTTCTGAAGTTAAAACATAAATATAAACATAAAACATGTTTTTTATGCAGAAAATTATAATAACTGATGAAAAGAAATGTCAATACAGTGATGCAACATTGTGATCGACTGCTTTTTAAAATTAACTAGAACACAAAACACTTTTTCCTTGTGTAATTGAGCAGCTTTAACAGCGTTCAGTAATTTCTACGCTCACTCACCAGCCGAGTATTTAGACTTCAGCACACACTGCAGCTATTAAACTTCATTTAATGAAGAGACTTTGATTTTTGTGCTCTACGTGACACTTAAATAGTTCTGAGGTGCTAAAACGTCATAAAGAGTCTGTGGGAAAGTGACTAAACTCTTTGACACTCTCTGTAAAACACTGTGTCTCAAAAAACAAAACGTGTTGCTCTTTTTATTGCTCTCTTACATTGCAGATGGGTAATGTTTCATCTGATGCCGAGACTGTTCATGGCTTTAATTGATCATATATGTATTGTTCCAAATTAAGTGTTTTACAATGAATTGTTTTGGCAATTTCAAGCATACTTCAGTAAGGGGCAGACATTGCACAAATCTGGGAAAACTGTCCCAGGATGCCCCGTATATTATGTCATGTAGTATTGAATGTTTTTTTGTCTCTCACATGAAAGCAGTGATGAAGTTGAGCTGCCGTAATTCCAGCTTTATTTCATATGTTAGAAATGTATATTTAAAAAAAAACTATGATAGTTAGCATAAAAATAGCATAATCCCACATTATAAAAACAATAGTTCCTTAAATGAGAGAGTAAACCTGTTGAAACTTATAACTCTTAAGTTGACTTAACTTATTTTTTTATAATTCTGCACATAATTTATTCATTCATTTATGCTCTAATTCATTTTCTTTCGTCTTTTCCCTTATTTATCAGCAGAATGAACCGCCAATTATTCCAGCATATGTTTTATGCAGCGGATGCCCTTCTAGCCGCAACCCAGTATTGGGAAACACCCATAAACACTCATTCACACACACATACACACTCATTTACACTCATACACTACGGCAAATTTTGTTTAACCAATTCACCCATAGCGCATATCTTTGGACTGTGGGGGAAACCGAAGCACCCGGAGGAAACCCACGTGAACACTGGAAGAACATGCAAACTCCACACAGAAATGTGAGGCGTCAGTGCTAACCAATGAGCTGCAGTACCGACATGCACATAGTTCATTTACTTTATTTTCAGGTGACATATTTACTTCTTCAATTAATCACTTTAAAAGCAATGGGAGGGAAAAACTAGATGATTTATGGTTTCTTTAAATATTTCTCAGTTATTAGCTCCTGTTTTTTTCAGCAGAGGGCGTAACACATAGACTCCAAAATTTGAGCTGCTAAAAATATCTGCAGTAGTTAACAGTAGTCAAATTACAGCGTGTAACATGTTGAGTCAGGATTATAATTCACCAATATCGCAGGTCAAATTTATAGCATTTGCGAAAAAGACGGATTTTATTTTATTACGCTTTTAATGAAGACTATACAGTGTCATTTTACATTGAATTTACTTGTAATACTGTTAGACTCCACAGAAAACCAAATATTTTCATTTGCATATTTTCTCTGTTGTATTTATTTATGCTTGTAATTATTATAATTTTTTTTTTACTTATAAATATTTTATGCAGATGCACTCTCATCCCAATCAAAAATCATCCCAATTATTAGAAAATAAAAATAAACAGAGGGGGCTAATAATTCAGGGAGGCTATGTATGTAGTCAAAATTAGTAGCCCTCCTATGAAAATTTTATTCTGTTACATATATTTTTAAAGTAGTTTTTACATAGAGAAGTTTTTTTTCCAAAACATTTCTAAGCATAATAGTTTTAATAATTCATTTCTAATAAATGCTCTTTGCCATGATAACAAAACAATATTTTACTGGTTATTTTGCAAGGTACTATACTAATATGCAGCTTAAAGTCACATTTAAAGGGTTAACTTGGTTAATTAGGTTATTATTGACTTTAGAGGCTCCATAAACTGGAAGCTTTTAATCACTATTTGTTTTCGTATTGTGATGCAGAATTTTAAATGAGCAAACTAGGCATGGCTTGTTTTTCTTCCACGAGCTGATTGGATGTAGTAAAATAGTAGAAGAGTTATTACAGCCTAACAGACACCTCCTCCTCCCCATTTCTGTTTGTTTTCAAAACTGACTAGTTTTGATTTCATGGGGACTTTAAAGTTGTTTTAAAAGATTTTCAAAACTGCTTTTATTCCAACCAAACTAAAAATAAGACTTTCTCTAGAAGAAAAAAATTATAGGAAATACTAAAAAAATGTCCTTGATCCACGAAACAGCATCACTTATGACTATATATATATAAATATGTATAAGAATACATATTTCACATACAGTTGAAGTCAAAATTATTAGCCCTCCTGTGAGTTTTTTTTTCCTTTTCTTTTTAAAATATTACCCAAATGATGTTTAACAGGGCAAGGAAATTTTCACAGTATGTCTGATAATATTTTTTCCCCTGGAGAAACTCTTATTAGTTTTATTTCGGCTAGAATAAATATATATTTTTTAATTTTAAGTGATTATTATTAGCCCTATCTAGTAAAAATATTCTGTACCGTCATCCTGGCAAAGATAAAATAAATCGGTTATTAGAAATGAGTTATTAAAACTATTATGTTTAGAAATGTATTGAAACAATCTTCTTTTTGTTAAACAGAAATTGGGGGAAAATATACAGGAAGGCTAATAATTCAGGAGAGCTAGTAATTCTGGCTTCAACTGTAAATCTCAGAAAATCAAAATGTAGTAATGTCAGCTTTATTTTCCAATATTGTGCAGTCCTACTCCATATGGTCATTGTAATATGCTTTTACTACTTGCGAGTGTACCAGAGTTGTGCTCTTGTATTTGTAGAGCTGGGAGATCTGCGAGAGCTGGAGACTTTGGATGTGTCGATGAATCTCCTAAGGACTCTTCCTGAGCGTCTCCATCAGTGTGTGTCTCTGCAGTGTCTGACGGCGGACCGAAACCTGTTGCACTGCCTCCCTCGCCAGCTCTGCCTGCTGCCTGACCTCAACGAGCTCTCCATGGCCGCCAACTGCCTGACATCACTTCCTCTCGGTGAGCACATAACATACACTGCCTCTGAAATCGCATGCTCCTCAAACAGGTGCGACATTTAAATTTAAATTGTTATTAGCCCTCCTGAGTTATTTCCCCCTATATATTTGAACACATTTCTAAACACAACAGTTTTAATAAGTAATTTCTAATAACTGATTTATTTTAGCTTTGTCATGATGACAGTACTTTCCCAGTGATGGGTTGCGGCTGGAAGGGCATCCGCTGCGTAAAAGCTACGCTTGATATGTTGACGGTTCATTCTGCTGTGGCGACCCCTGATTAATAAAGGGACTAAGCCAAAAAGTAAATGAATGAATGAATGATGATAGTACATGTACACTTACCGGCCACTTTATCAGGCACACCTCTGAGTTGGACCCACTTTTGCCTTCAGAACTGTCTTAATCATTCATGACATAGATTCAACAAGGTACTGGAAATATTCCTTAAAGATTTGGTCTGTATTGATATAATAGCATCAAGCAGTTGCTGCAGATTTGTTGGCTGCACATCCATGATGCGAATCTCCCGTTCCACCACATTCCAAAGGTGCTCTGTTGGGTGACTATGGTGGCCATTTGAGTACAGTGAACTCATAGTCATGCTCAAATAACCAGTATGAGATGATTCGCGCTTTAAGACATCATAGTGAGTGATTATTTGAGTTACTGTTGCCTTTTTATCAGCTCAAACCAGTCTGGTCATTCCTCTCTGGCATAAACATTGCATTTGCGCACACAGAACTGGATATTTTTTTCTTTTTCTCTCTAAACTCTAGAGATGGTTTTGCGTGAAAATCCCAGTAGATCAGCAGTTTCTGAAATACTTAGACCAGCCCGTCTTGCAGAAATAACCATGCCACGTTCGAAGTCACCTAAATCACCTTTCTTCCCCATTCTGATGCTCTGTTTAAACTGCAGCAGATCATCTTGACCATGTCTACATGCCTAAATGCATTGAGTTGCTGCCATGTGATTGGCTGATTAGAAATTTGCATTAAAGAGCAGTTGGACAGGTGTACCTTATAAAGTGGCGGTGAGTCTATTTTACTAGCTAATTTTCAAGATATTAGTATTAAGCTGAAAGTGATATTAAAAAGCGTAACTTGGTTAATTAGGGTAATTAGGCAAGCCATTGTATAATGATGGTTTGTTCTGTAGACAATCTAAATAAATATTGCTTAAGGGGGGTAATAATATAATCCTATTATACATTAAAAATAATTATGTTTTTGGTTTTAAGGGTCTCCAATAACAGTCTGATATGCATGCAAGGTCAAAAAACACTTTCATGGTCTTATAATATGCATTTATTTGTACCTAATTATCCCAGAGCCTCCCATATGAATCGTTCAGCGATTCATTTGTTCCCAAACCCCTCCTTAGCGCGAAGCTAATCTGTGCTGGTTGGACTGATGACAGTCTGTTGCGATTGGTCGACAGTGTTCAGCGTGAGACAGTGAAATCCCCACCATTTATTTTGTTACTAACAACACAGTACCTGGTCCTCAACAGTGATATTTAGAAACCTCAACCCCGAACAGGTAGTGCTGTCGCCTCACAGCAAGAAGGTCGCTGGGTCGCTGGTTCGATCCTCGGCTCAGTTGGCGTTTCTGTGTGGAGTTTGCATGTTCTCCCTGCGTTTGCGTGGATTTCCTCCGGGTGCTCCGGTTTCCCCCACAGTCCAAAGACATGCGGTACAGGTGAATTGGGTAGGCTAAATTGTCCGTGGTGTATGAGAGTGTGTGTGGATGTTTCCCAGAGATGGGTTGTGGCTGGAAGGGCATCCGCTGTGTAAAAAATGTGCTGGATAAGTTGGCGGTTCATTCCACTGTGGCGACCGCGGATTAATAAAGGGACTAAGCCGGAAAAAAAATCAATGAATGAATAAATGAATGAATGAATGCACGCACAACAATTGATCGGGGCTTAAGTTTTGTATTGACATCACGCCGAAATGGCTAAAGACTCATCGTCAAGATGATTCATTTGAAGTACTTTGAGTCGACTCATTTATAGATGAATCAATAGTTTTAAACACTGTGCACTTTTAGATTTTAGCCTTAGCTGGATATTTCACTTCACTTAGAGCTGTGTTACACACTACATGGAAGGTCATTTTCAAAAAGTCATAACTGGTTTTAAAAAATGTAAAACTGCTTTCATTCTAGCCTGACATCACTTTCCCTCGGTGAGCACATAACATAACAATGCATTTACCATTAAACGTTTTGAAGTCAGTAGACGTTTTTTTTTTTTTTTAATGAATTAAATGTTTTAAAGCAGTGGTCACCAAACTTGTTCCTGGAGGGCCGGTGTCCAGCAGATTTTAGCTCCAGCCCTAATCAAACACACCTGAACAAACTAATCAAGCTCTTACTTGGTATACATGAATCACCCAGGCAGGTGTGTTGAAGCAAGTTGGAGCTAAACCCTGCAGGGACGCCGGCCCTCCAGGACTGAGATTGGTGACCCCTGTTTTAAAGGATGTAATACATAGAAAGTCATTTATATTGTTACAAAAGATTTATCTTTAAAATAAGTATTGTGCATATGTAATAATATTCATAAAAATATCTAAATAAAACATGTCAAGCTTTCAGCAAAAATAGTAAGCAGGACATCTGTTTTTCTATTGTTGATAATAATAAAAAGAAATGAAAAATCTGCATTTTGTAATGATCTCTGATGACTCGCTGGACACTGAAAATTGAAATAAGGATGCTGAAATTCAGATTTGCAGCACATGCATCATGCAGTGCCTGCAGTTAAACTCACAGCGGTTTATCATGACACTTCATCGCCTTAAAATGATAAGGTTCTATCTGACATTTTTGTCAAAATTAAGTTATTGCCATATTCTTATATTAAATGACTTCTTATTTACATTATGGGATGTTTTTTTTTAAGTTGTTTAACTTTTTAAAGTTGTTTACATTGTTTAAGGCTTTTTATTTAAACAACAACTGTTGCTATAAAATGCAAAAACTTTAAAGCTCAATATCTCAAAATCATTCAGAACGCAGATAGAACCTTATAATTCCAATGTGACGACCTTTATCAATCATTTTTTTCCACAATTGACAGCAAGAACAAACAAACATACAAGCATTGTCTGATTAACAAGCAGCACCTAAGTATGTTTAAAAGAATTTAAAACGCCAAATAGGATGAATTCATACCCTATTTCAAAAGTAAAACATACTCTAACATTAAGTGCAGTGTGTGGGTGAGAGGGGGAGCAGTGTTTCGATGAGACCTGGTTATGTTTTGGTTCTTTAACTGCTGGTGTTGGTTGCTGTATGGTTAAAAATTATGACAGTTGAAGTAAGTAGGTTAATTTTGATTTAAATAAATTTTAATTAAATTAAATATTGATCTAATATTTTGGGTGTTTTTTTGTGTGTTTTGGACAGCTTTTGGGGTTGAAAAATTCTGCTATATCTGGCAACGCGGCTTCAGTCCCTAAATATTACTTAAGTGCTGTGAAAAGGAATGGGAACATTATAAAGCGGTAAATGCTTTACTGTTCCAACTTTTTTTGTGTGTGTGTGTTGCAAGAACCGAAAATTTATTTAAAAAACAAAACAAAACAAACAATAAAAATCATGAGGAACACAATAAAAAATGCTTGTTGTATTGTCTGCAATAAAATACGTCAATAAAAAGTCAAAGTTAATTAAGAAATCGCTACATTTTTATTTGCGTTTTCCAAACAGTTCAAAAAGGTCATGATTCACACTCATCAAACAATTGCTTCGTATTATTTTTATTTTTACATTCTCAGGTGATACAAAAACAGAAACGTTTCGGCACAGTGCCACACACTGAGGAAGGCATTGTGCCGAAACGTTTATATTTTTATCACCCGAAGAATGTAAAAATAAAAACAGTGCGAAGCAATTATTTGATGAGTGCGAATCATGACCTTTTTGAACAGTGGTTTTGACAAGATTAACGCACCAAAGAAGTTTCTTTAACAACCGCGAGCGCGAAGGGCAAACATAATTACGCACGTTTTCCATACTGTCCCAATTTTTCACATCACTACCACATGCACTGTATAAATCATTCCATACATGCGTACATATATACATACACATATAGATTAAAATGTTTCCTTGACCACAACCAAAAAACAACACAAATAAAAGGTTGCCAAGTTATGAACAGTAAATGTTCAAATCTGAATAATTATTTAGTGGTTGAGGACACAGCCAGCCATTGACTCATTAATTTGCGTTTAATAAAAAGCAGGTATTTTTAATTTGGTAATAATAGTTGCCATATGTTTCATTAAACAAATGCAGTCCTTGTTAAACATAAGAGACAGCGAGCCTTACTTACAAGTATAATAATCAGCCCATTTTCCAAGTCATTCATTTTCTTTTCGACTTTATTATTCAAGGGTTGCCACAGCGGAATGAACCGCCAACTTATCCAGCATAAGTTTTATGCAGCGGATGCCCTTCCAGCTGCAACCCAGCACTCGAAAACACCCATACAGTCTTGCATTCATTCACATAGTCTACAGACAATTAAGTTTATTCAAGTCACCTATCCCGCATATCTTTAGACTGTGGGGGAAACTGGAGCATCCAGAGGAAACCCATGCCAAGACGGGGAAAACATGCAAACTCCACACAGAAATGCCAACCGGCACAGCCGAGACTTGAACCGGTGGCCTTCTTGCTGTGAGACACCAGTGCTACCCATTGGGCCACCATGTTGCTCATTTTGCAAGTACGCCTTCCCCAAAATGTATTCAAGAGGAAGGTTTGCTGTTCGCCATGCACAGCTGTTGTTTTGACCTCAGAGGACTTGCAATATGTTACACGAGTCCCAGGTGAATTGTTTGGCCTTGTTGCTGATATACTGTAGTGTACAGTACTGATGCTTTATATTTCCGTCAGATCTGGGACGCTCCATGGAGCTGCAGTTTGTGTTCGTAGACAACAATGCTCATCTGAAGGGTCTTCCATCGTATCTTTATAACAAAGTCATCGGCTGCAGTGGGTGAGTGCTACAAACTTAAAGTACACATGAAATCCAAACTAACCAAATGATTTTGTCCACTCACGTTGCCAGTTTTGTGGTGAACAATTCCTGTCATAGAGAAAAAAGAAATGGTTTGCCCTTGTAATGTTTAATTGAAATCTGAAAATGCACTTCCTGTTTTTATTTTAGTTAAATTATCAGATTACCTATGTTTTAGGAATTGGCCATGGTTAATATATTTAAAGGGCACCTATGGTGAAAAATCTACTTTTCAAGCTGTTTGGACAGACATGTGTGTATATATAGTGTATAGACCGTCATATTGGGGTGAAATAAACACACCCAGTCCTTTTTTTCAATTTAACAACATTAAAACGGTGGACCATTTGGAGCGGTTTTCAGACCAACCGCAACTTGACGTAGGAGTGCGGACCACCCGCCCACCAAATTGATTGACAGCTTCGCGTAGCATGTCCCGGTAGTCACATGTATAATCATGTCAACAAGACCAGACGTGCGCAAAGCAACCGGGAAAAATAGGTCTGTTCAGTTCGCTAGGATTATCAATCATCATCAGATGTAATCAAGAGTGAGTTTCACATGTTTAAAATGTTTTAAATCAGTGCACATGTGTAATTCATTACAGCGATTTACTTTAGCTTTACCTCATCACCACAGCCGCATGTAAGATCAATTATGAAAGAAGACGCTTCAATCCCGGTTTTTGGACGTTAAATCAGGTTTATTTCATACATTATTTATATATATATGGTATATATATATATATATATATATATATATATATATATATGGTATATATATATATAATTTTTTTTTCCATAAATTTATTTTCAACTTTACAGTCAGAAATAAATAGATGATCATACGATAATAAACTGACTTGCAAAAAAACTAAAGCTCACAAAGAACGCAGAAAAACCCCAGTCTTTGGACAAACTAGTGGAAAATGTGTGAGTCTTTGGTCAGACTTTCCATCCATCTGAAAGTAAACAACACTGATTTTCTTCACACATGTAACTCTGCAAGAAGAGTTTGCTCCTCAGACAAACAACAGAACTCTTGAATATCCTTTAAAGATTTGCTTTGGTGATCTTCCAACCTTTCCTTCAACTATAAACTTGGCTTGTCCTCTTTTAACACATTCTGCTGCTTTTGCTGTCTGTTTTCCCCAAAGGAGATTCACAGATCTTCCAGTCAAGCACTGACTGACACAAGAATTAGTAACAGAGCCTGAATGGGACACTGCAAAAATGCTTTTAGTGATTTAACAATTCGTCCTTTTGTCTTGTTTCTAGTCCAAGTATCAAAATCTTTTTACATCAAGAATCACTTTCTAGACAAGCAAAAATACTAGCCCCTTTCACACAGTGATACCAGTTATTATTCAGAAAATTACTGGAATGACTTTACCGGAAAATGTACACAAGTGCTGTTCACACAGGCAAGGACATTCTGGAATTTTTCCGGAAAAGACCGTTTACACATCCATTCCAAAAATACCAGAAATGAGCTCAAAACGACTGCACTTGTATTTGCAAACATAGAAGTGGTCTGGCTTTTGTTGATGGTTTCACTTTTATTTAAAGCTTTAGCATTCATGCAGCTGCTTTGTCCCAGAAGCATCCAAAGGCAGAAGCGCGAACCGCAGCTAAATGTTTACACATTTTACATTCTAAATTCTGTGGATGGATAAGTATTTTGAACAACTTCAATGAAAAGAAATAAAGGAACACTTTCACCTCAAAGTGTTCATGTTCATGTCAAGACGTAAAAAAAATTTGTGTGTGTGCTGCCGCTCACCGGCTGCTTCCGTGCACACGCATCAAGCAACTGAAGCAGAGCTTGAAGGTAAACAAACAGCAGTTTATCATAAACATTTTACCGGTAATTTTTTACACAGTTGGCATTAAGAAAGAACATAGAAACGTTATCCGACTAATATCTAGCAGCTAAATGTGTCTGGAGAAATATTCAAAGGCTTTTATCTTTATAAACGGAGCGGATGTGAATGCATCTGATTGACTGGAGTAGACTGCTCACGTCAGAGTGTTCTAAACGGGAACGCTTTTTCTTTTTAGGTTTACACAGAGTAGCATTCCAGCAAATTACTGTTAATGTTACAACTTCTCTTTGCAGAAAGTTGCTGGAACTAATTTGCTGATATTTTTAGAAAGGGCCTTTTCACACATGATTCCTTTCCTGGCTTGTATAGGTGAAAGGGGCTATTGTGTTGTTTTAAGAAATAATATGCCAAAGTTTTTCCTTAAAACAAGCAAATAATTCAATTGAAGTTTATGCCTATAGCACTTTTTTCAATAATTATTGTTTCATAGCTTTACAAAAGGTTCACATTATTATATTAAACTCAACTTAGGTTTTTTAAGTTACAATTAAATATAAGTTCTTATATACAAACATAGTTAACCTGCAGTTCTATTGACCTTATTCTGCGATGCGGAAATGCATTCGTTTTTGCGATTGTCTCATTGATTTACATGTTAAGTCAATGCAAACGCACGAAAAGACATCCTGCGGCGCGAATGGCGCGGCGCGAATGACGCAAATTGCGCGAATGGCGTGGGGCGAATTGAGCAATTTGCCCGTTTGACGTGCTTAACGAGCGTTTCGCGCGAATCTCTCGATTTCGAAAATCTGAACTTCAGCGTACATTTGCGCTGTGTTAACCAATCAGAAGCTTGCTCTTGTGGGGGAGTGATTGTGATGTAGATTCTGTGATGTAGACAGTTCATCAAACTCGGCTTGGCTCAGTCAGAAGCACCGCTGAAAGCCTCCGTCATCCAGGTTAAGTTTCTGGAGGAGTTTATGAGCTCACAGAGCTGGATGCACCTCTGAAAAAATGTAGTGGACTCAGACACGACCCTAAACGTATCAACGCTGTTTTTCAGTCTTCATAAAGCACATAAACACTGTTATTTTTTTCATAAAATCCATATTAGCCATTTAGCTATGAAGCTAGAGTCACCGGGCAGACAGAAGCCCTGCCCATCACACGAATCCGCGTCTGTTCTGATGTGAATTTGACACGCGAATGAAGCGAGTAAACTCAAATGTTCACGCGGCTATTTACGCGCGAATATCGCGATTTATCCGCGCGTTATGCATCTGGTGTGAACACAGCATTAGAACTTCCGATTCAGTCACCTAAGAGAGAAATGAGTAGGAATAAGAAACTACTTGCTTTACAAACCAGTGTGTTCATGACTATACAGACAAAGCAGAATAAAATAATAAAGAAAACATCAGTTTGCAACATCAAGCAACATAACATCCAAAAATAAATGGAAGTGAATGAGAGCGGAAGTCTCGAGCCAAAGAGATTCAAATGGCTGCTCCTGCTCGTACGTGGGGAATAAGGTGAATAGTATATAGGTGATGCCTATGTGTACATGTTTAATGAAGTGTATTCAGTGTATGTATTGTCCTCGATGTCTTCGATGGTTTGCATCGTCTCTTCACAGGTCTTGGATCCCATCAGTGTCACTGCACAATCTCTAGAGGCCTCGGAATAACTATCCCTAGGTGGAAATAGTGAACACAGAAAATAATAAGCGTAGCTACTGTTCATATTCTATTTGAGCAAGAGATCTTAAATATCAATGTGAAAATGAAGTGCTATCAATTAAAATAATAATTAAATTACCAAACATATAAAGCATACAGTATTTCTAACAAAATTCCTACTGCATCAAGACAGGAGGAGTGTCCTACAGGTGGTTTGTCAAGCCCACTCACCTGCATGGAGCACGCTTATCATACTGTTGTGTGATGCTTTGTGTGTATGCTTTACTAAAATTATAAGTCTTTAATCTAGTTTAGAACTGAAAGAATGTGTCTGAGTTTTGAACTGAGAGTGTGTGTCTGAGCCTCAGACATTATTAGGAAAGCTATTCCAGAGTTTAGGAACCATATATAAGAAGGCTTGACCTCCTTTAGTAAATTTTGCTATTCTGGGCACTACCAGAAGCCCTGAGTTTTGAGGTCTTAAAGAGCGGGTTGGATTGTAGCAAGTTGGAAGCTTGGTTAAATAAACAGAAGCTAGATTATTGAAAGTTTATAATAATGTAAATAATCTGCTTATAAATAATCTGCCAATGTGGTAAGCAAAACAGTCAAAATATTTTTTTTTTCCTTTTGACATAAGATTATTTTGCTTACCGCATTGGCAAATTATTTAGCTTGTTTTTGAGAAAAACTCGCCTAATTTTGACATTATTTTCTAAAACAAGTCAGTATTTTTTGCTTGTCTAGAAAATGTCTGATTAGATTTTTTTTATTCAATTCAATTCAGCTTTATTTGTACAGCGCTTTTACAATGTGGATTGTGTCAAAGCAGCTTCACATAAATGGTCATAGTAACTGGAACAGTGTAGTTCAGTTTTTAGTGTTTAAGTTCAGTTCAGTTCAGTTTAGCTCAGTTCAGTGTGATTTAAAATCATTACTGAGAGTCCAAACACTGAAGAGCAAATTCATCGATGCGTAGCTCTACCAATCCTGTACCATGCGAGCCAGTGGCGACAGCGGAGAGGGAAAAAAAACTTCACCTGATAGGAGAGTGAAGAAAAAAAACCTTGAGAGAACCAGACTCAGTTCGACACGACCATTTTAATTTCCTCGCTGGCCAAAAGTCTTGTGCAGAGCTTCAGTCACCGCAGTGGAGGCTGTTTATGTATTTGAAAAATAAACAAGACAAAAAGAAGTTTTTTTTTTTTTTGCAGTGCAAATTAGACACTTCGGAAATTTTAAGTCAAACACATAAAGTTTGACAGTTGCTAATGACACTACATTTCCAAGTTTTGAATGATTAGATTTTAAAGAAATGTTTTTAAGGACGTGTTCATGCTTTATAAAAACAAAGTTCTATCAAATGCATCATTACAGCAGTCTGCAACATTACACAGTCCTTCAGAAATCATTATGTCATGCTCAATTATTATCAGTATTGCAGGTTCTCAAGGGTTTCGTTGGTTATTATCACTGTTAAATGTTTTTTGCCGCTTAATATTAAAAAAAAATGTTTTTAAACCCTGTCTGCTAAACATATTTATAATACAAAATAAAAATGTATGAAATCTGCATGGTTTAACGTTATTGTATTTTGTACAATAATACATTATCACAGTATACTATTTAAAGGGATAGTTCACCTAAAAAGGTCAATTTACTCACTATTTTCTCTCTCTCAAGCGCTTCCAAACTTGCCCGACTTTCTTTCTTCTGTTAAACACAAAAAGATAATTTGAATGAAGTTGAAAACCTGTAACCATTGACTTCCATAGTAGAAAAAAAAAATAAAAATATTATAGCGCTCAATGGTTACTGGTTTTCATCTTACTTCAAAACACCTTCTTATGGCAACAGAATAAAGTGAGTCTGACCTATAATGGCCCTTTTTACAAGATATAAAATAAGTCTGATGTCCCTAAAGTGTTAATGTGAAGTTTCAGCATAAAATACCCCACAAATAATGTTGTATAACTCTTTGAAACTGCGTCTTTTAGGCTTTGGTCCTAATTGTGCCATTTTGGTGATTGTCGCTTTAAATTCAAATGAGATTATGCTCGTTTCAAAAGAGGGCGGAGCTACAAATGCCTACATGTCAGCATAGTGGCAGATTCAAAACAAGACTAACCTATGCTAATGAGGGAGAGATTGTCACTAATGGTGACCTCTGATGGCACATTGAAATGAAGAATGTCAATTAAAGTGTTTCTGCAGACTGTTTTTATTAAGTGTGATTATAATAAATCTAATTAATAAACATTTACCATTAGAAGCTGGTTGCCACACAACTGTATTTAAAGCCCTTATAAAAGTGTTTTTTTGTGTTTTGTGACTTCATTGAGAATTAAAATGTATATCTATTTCTATCTTTTAACTGCTAGTGTTGATGTTTTCTCTTGATGTGTTTGTTTCAGAAGGACCCCTGTCACTAGCCGCATTTCCACTATCGGGCCAGTGCGAGCCAGGGCTTTAATCGGGCCGGGGCGGGCCAATAGCCCGGGAGGTTGAGAAATGAGGCTGAAATCATGTCGCGTTTCCACTGTCGGGCTAAAGCTCACAGCGCGTCACGCAAACACCGCCCACAGAACGTCCCCGAATCAAACGTCACACAACCCGCCCATTTCAGCGGGAATGAGGCAGATAAAGCACACCATAAATCATCACGTAACGAAACCATTAAAATGAAGACAACCGAAACAAACAAACGACACGTTACTGTACAGCGGTACATGAAATGTCTACACGCACAGACCTGTGTATTTCCATTAATTACATTTGTTTACTCGCCGACCGACTGCATTGTGCATCGAGTGCTCTCGCCACTAACGCAGGGACCCAACACAGAGAGCGCACACATCCATAATATAAAGCCACAGAAATTCTCCTTTATAACTCGATATGGCATGTATTTTTTAACATCCTCGTTTTGATAGAAGTCGTGTTAAGTTTTCAGCACAAGAGTGAGTAGCCTAATAAAATATAGCCATATTTGTTGCGCTCGGCAGCTATTCACTAAAACTCCTCATTTAAAGTTCATTTATAAATTTAACCACGTCAAATAAAAACATAAACAGTTGTTTGAGGATATAGAACACATTTTGTGTTTGGACTTTACCCCATATGCGTTTAAAGCAGCGAGCGCTGCGCAGGACTGAGTGACAGAAAAAAAGGTAGCCTATAGGAGATTCTGCTTTCACTCACCCAAATAATGCTCTGTTTGCGCGATTTGATTAATATCATCATATCCAAATACTTTATAAATATTTACTTATATAAATATTTACTTTATATAAATATTTCAAACCTTCTCCGGTGTTTATTGTTTTTAAAAAATATCGAAAATCTTTTTTTTTTCAGACAGGTCTTTGCAAAATGAAAGTTAGGCTATATGTGGCTTTAAAACGGTTTGATTTATGTATTGTATATAGGCTACCTACATTGTTATAGTTAGCTTTTGTTTATTTTATATTGGTTTATTTATTTAATGTGATTATATATCCGATATTTGTAATTCTTTAAATTATATTTCAATATAGGCTACCTTAGGCTATTTTATCAAGATATGACAATATATTGTTTAAAGTCTACGAAAGTGGGCACGTATTTTGTTAAGTTTATGTCTTTCTGTTGTATTTATATGTGTATTATCTCCAAAATAAATAAAGAAAAAAGCCGCTCGCGGCATAACAGAGCTGTGAAGTAGCGCTTTTTCCCGGTCTCACACACACAGACAGGCATCTAAACGTGCACAAGCAAACAAACATTTTAAACTTGACAAAAACTCTCGAAAACCTTTACTGTCTGATGTGTTTTTAATATGGTGTAAAGATTATTATGCGTTATTGAAACATAAAGGAGGACGCAGCAAAGAACGTCACTATAAATTAAACTACTTTATTATTTTATGCAGCAGCCTTACATTTAAAAGGGAAACATAAGGGTGATCATACGCAAAAAGACCCCAGACTATAAGGCTAGATGTTTTCTTTCCCTTATTTCTTTATTTGTTTGGCGCATGTACTCATGTGCGATCAGAAAACTGCCCGCCTCTCCTTTCACTCCGCCCCGAAGCCCCAGCTGGCCCTCCTTGGCCCAAGGTATTCGGCTGGCCGAAAAAGGCCGGCCGCTGGCCCCAAGAAAGCCCCGCTTTGGCCCGATTAGGCCCCGGAAGTGACAGTGGAAACCCCACTGGCCTTGGCTCGCTCGCTTTAGGCGCGATAGTGGAAACGCGGCTACTGTGTTTAAATGAGGTTGTTTATCTGTATGTATCTGCACAGATGTGGTCTGGCTCTGCAGATCTCGGACATGAAGCAGCTCTGCTTGACTTTGGGAGATGTAACTGTTCCTCTGCCCTCTGAAGTGAAGGCCATCGGCTCCGAGTCTGAACGAGTACTGCCTCTTGAAGAGCTGGCCTGCAGGGTCTTGCACGCGGCCTACGACTGGACCTGTAAAGGCGAGAATTGCAAAAACAAGCCTATGACAACACTTCAGTTCCTTTACATGCACAAGCCAAAGTTTTTATACACATCTTTAAACTGTTGTCTCGGTTATAGTTTGGTCAAAGTCCCTTTAAGGCAAGTCATTTCACTAGGTGGGCATCTCGGGCAGTTTGCTCTGTCTGAATGTGGAAACATCAAATTCTCCAAAACTGTTTGCCAAGCTTACTATTACATAATATACTTTAAATCATTAATAAAATTAAACAACGTCCCAAAAGCTTCGTTTCTAAACGTTAAAATCAAACAAAATGAGCATTTTTTTCAGGTTTCCCAATTTAATGTGCACTCAAACGGAACGAGATCATGACACCAACCTCATTTATGATTGTTCTACACATTATCATCCTCTGAATAATGCTTCATCAGATCACGCAGGTCTTCTGAGATAATCCACAAGTTAGGCTGAATGGCGAATCTCCTCCAAAAAAACAGTGTATCTTTATTTATACGAGTAAGTGGGACCTTTGAGTAGTTGCTGTCATGTGATGTGCGTTTGACTGGAAGAACATCCACCTGTCTTCACATATAATCTTGTCTAATATATATATATATATATATATATATATATATATATATATATATATATCCGCACCGATCATCACTTTAACAATTCTAATTCTTTGTTTTAAGTATGATGATAAGTCAGTGTGGATCGTTCGTTATTAACAGATTCAGTGTGCTAATATGCGCATCTTTGATAGTAAAATAATACGCTAATCGTGAACTGTTTTAAATAAAAATTTATTTATAAAAATAAGCATTTGTTACAGCAAAAAAAAAAGGGAATGTTGGGATGATTCTAAGGGCCCCCGCACTTTGGGGGCCCCCAGAGATGTTATTAGGGGCCCACATCAACAGAAATCGCGGACCATACTATACCAGTTTTTTGGGACCCTTTCATACAGGTGAATGGCATAATAGCAGGATACAAAAAGGGCAGAACTTGTTGAACAGAAGGACAGAAGAATGTTGAAAAAAATCAGCCACTGACCTACATAGTATCTTGTTTTGTCTGCTATGGGTTATAGTCATTTTCCAAAGCAACTTATAATTGAGTAGGCATTCAGCAATTCAACAAAAAGAGGCAATACACACAAGAAGAGCTAATTATACAAAGGAACTATTAATGCTCTGCGTAGATAATTAAGTGCATGAGTAAGGAGGGGGAGTGTTTTGTTTTTTTATTGAGAGAAGAAGGTTTCTTTAGATGGTTTGTCAAGCACACTTTGTAAATGCACAATGGGGGTGGGGGGTGGGGGGGGGTTTGAGATATGGAGTGATTGTAAGAAAGTGTCTGGTGCAAAGCTGGTGCAAGTCGATGTTGATGGCTGCTTTTTTTCAACATTCTTCATAATATCTTTAAATTCAAATGAGATTGCTCTTTTCAAAAGAGGGCGGGGCTACAAATGCCGATGTGCCAGTATAGTGGCATATTCAAAAACAAAACTAACCTATGCTAATGAGGGAGAGATCACTAATGGCTTCCCCCCCTCTGAGGACACATACAAAGGGAGATTGCCAATCAAAGTGTTTCTGCAGACTATCAAGTGTGATTATAACAAATTAAAATAATACATTTTTACCATTAGAAGCTGGTTATATTCACTGACTGTTGCCACATAAAAAAAACTTATAAAAGTAATTTTTGCATAATCTGTCCCTTTTAAAATGCTTTCCTTCTCTGTCTGGTGTGCAGATGTGAAGCTCCGAACTCCATTCCTGATGCCCAAGAGTCTGCTAGATGTGGTTCAGTGGCCTCTGGGTCACTGTCACCGCTGCAGTCAGCCCATGTTCACTATCATCTACCCCAAACTCTTCCCTCTCAGAGAAACCGCCCTCGCTGGAGTGCACAGGAGGTACTCTTAAGAACACACCACACTGTAGTAGTACTGTTATATTCCCTATTATATTCAGTTGAAGTCAGAATTATTTAGCCTCCAGTGATTTTTTTTTTCTTTCTTCTTTTTCAAATATTTCCTAAATAGTGTTTAACAGAGCAAGCAATTGTTCACAGTATTTCCTATATTTTTTTTTTCTTCTGGACAAAGTCTTGTTTGTTTTATTTTGACTAGAATAAAAGCATTTTTAATTTTTTATGCCATTTTAAGGTCAGTATTATTAATCATCTTAAGCAATATTTCTTTTCAATTGTTTACAGAACAAACCATCATCATACAATGCTTTGCCCAATTACCCTAATTAACCTAGTGAAGCCTTTAAATGTCACTAAGCTGAATACTAGCATCTTAGAAAATATCTAGTAAAATATTATGCTGTATGTTAAGTTTGTATGCACTACATTTAGTTTTAATTCATTTTTTAATTTTTGTTTGATTTATTTTTTATTTTTTTTTAATTTGAGGTCAATTTATAGCTTATCTTAAACCATACAATTTTTTTCTGACCTTCTGATTACACACCACTTTAATGTGAAAAAAGAAAAGAACATTTGAAACATTGAAAGAACATTTCAAGCAAAGCATATTTTCTGTAATGCTGTACTTTTTAAAGTATGTATGATTTTCTTGCTCTAAAAATTAATACTTTTATCAAGTAAATTATATTTGTAATTAAAGTCTCAAATAAAAGTAAAATTTTATTTGAGATTTTTTTTCAAATTTTTATAAAGATTTCCACAAGCATAATTTGGAGCACTACTGTTTTTACAGCAGTTACGATAACAATAATAATAGATATGTTTATTTAATATTAAATCAGCGTATTCAAATGACTTCTGAAGGATCAGGTGAGTAATGATGCTAAAAAAACGCAGCTTTGATTTTAAATAATTATATAAATACAGTATAACAAAATGGAAACATTTCTTTTTAATTGTAATAATATTTGATTTAATGTCTATTTTTTATGTTACATTTGATCAACACAGCCTAAAAGCGTTGATTGAATGCATTGATCACATGCTTAAAATGCAGATTTGCCAAGCATAAAAAATGATCAGAAACATAAAAAAAGTCTTTGGTTTTTAATGTTCCTTTAAATGCATTTATTGTGGGATACTATTTATACTTTGGTTGCAAAAATATTCTCTCTGTTTATTAGAAATTGAGGAAAAAATAAACAGGGGGGCTAATAATTCAGAGGGGCTAATAATTTTGACTTCAACTGTGTGTCAACACATACAATAATACATATATTATTATATTTATTATATAAAATGCTTATTTATTTACCAGATATATGCATATTTATGTACCAAATGCACACTCAGTTATTTTGCATTCAGAAACACTCTCTGCTCATTCTCTTTGTTTTCCCTGTTGACCTGTGTCACTTCCTCTATCTCCTCATCTTACCGCTTGTGCGATTGGCTGAAATGAGCTGTGCTTTACTCCTCTGGCCGTCATGTTCCATCTATAATGCAACGCTGTGGTTTTGCTCTCAACGTTCAGCAGCGTAACCCAATCATCCTGCTGCACTGCTGCTCTCAGCTACTTCACGTGCATTAAGAGATCTAATCCACTTCACAATTACCTCTCACCCACTGCTGTTTTAAAGAGAGAGAGAGGGAGAGAGAGAGAAGCTATTTGTTTAACGGATGCTTTTCCATTTGCTTCTTTATGCTCTGTGTTTTCAGTCTCAGGTCATCTGGTTAGCCGTGTTTGTGTGTTTTCTGGAAGCACGACTGGGAAGTCTTATTGTTTCAATATTACTTCATTGAGCATTCATGAAAAAGCATATTGTAAGAGTTAAAATGACCTGTGTTTATATGTGCTCGCATTAATTAGCATATTCTGATGAGCACATGACTAAAGCACATAAAAGGGGCTTCAAACCATCGACTTTTTGTCAGATAGCTTTGTTTAATGTCTGCATGAACTGGAAGCTGCGACCGTTTATTTTTTTATATTGTGACAGTTCCTAGAGAAACAGAATATTAAAGAATGAAACAGTGGGCGTAGCTTGTTTTTTCCACTGTGAGCTGATTGGATGTAGTTTCATTCAGAAAGATTGGGAAAAGAGTTTCGTGAGAGTTATTAAAACCTAACAGACACCTCCTCCTCACCATTTGTTTGTTTTCATAGCGCTGACAGTTGGAGGGGCTTGGTTAAGTATGTTAGCCACACCCAATACCTCAGACAGATGTAATCTGAGAACTGGGCTCTATTTTATTGATCTAGACCCAAAATCTGAAGCTCGTGGCACAAAAAAGAATTAAGGGTGTTTTAGAATCCACTTTTGCTCTTTTAAGGCGGTAAAATACGCTCTGCGCCCTGGCGCATGGTCTAACAGGGTTGTGCTTATTCTCTTAATGAGTTATGGGTGTGTTTTGAGCATAACCTTCATTAAACCAATCAGAGTCTCATCTCCCATTACCTTTAAGAGTCAGTTGCATTGCACCATGACACGTTTGCTATTTATAGGGCGGATTTTGTAAGTGGGAAAACTAAACGCTTCACTAGCGAGTTAAACAGTTTAACAGACTATCTGCAGGGAGATGATAAAGAATGAGCCTCCTCCATTCGGCCTCTTTACTTTCTCTTTACTTTTACTCTTTACTCCTTTACCTTAGTGGAGTAAGGAAACGGTGTTGCACACACTCCACTGAAGACATTCATTAGCCTACATTTTTAATTTAGTTTGTTAAGCACAAAGACTTGTTTCAAAACTATTTCTAAATTCCGTTCTGATTTCCAGCAAACGAGTAAATGAACAATAATAACCAAGTGTGGTCAAAAACGGGGTTATATCCAAAAACACGTCCTATTCTTATGCCCCATATGGTGATATAGACATCTCCAAACCCCGACAGGTGGACAAATCTAAACTTGTTTTAATTAAAACAAATATAAATGTGCATATAATAAATAATACTGATGATGATAATAACATTATACAAATGCAAATTATCATGAATAAACTGAAAAAGCCCCCCGAGGTAAAGAAGGCATAGAGGAAGCGGTTTTTATATTCATGTAGTAAATAATAATTTTTTAACATTTTAATCCTTCATTTGTTTTCATATGTAAAGATATTTGTGTATTGCTGTATATCCTGTGTGTATTAAGCAATGTGTAAGCTTTGAACCTGCATAGTTGCATAACTAATGCGCTCTACTTTAGGGCAGCTTTTAGTTGGCCGATGGCACGGTCTATTTCAAATAGCAACGGACCAACAATGCACACTAATGCACCTCCTTTTTCAGACCAGCACACCCAAAGTGGCGTAAATGGATTTTCTATTTAAACAACATGGCACAAAACGGGAAAATTACAGTTGTGCTGGTCTGAAAATTGCAACAAATCGCGTCATGAGTATGATAGAGCCTGCTAACTAAAAAATGAACAGCAAGTGCATTTTCAGATTTCAATTTTAGATTAAAATGGCAAACCTTTTTTTTTTCTTAATGCCATGCACAGATTAAATGTTCACCACAAATCTAGCAACGTGAGCTAACAAAACCATCGTGTTAGTTTTGATTTCATGTGTACTTTGAAAGTGCAATATTGCCTTTAGTAAGCAATGTCTCTTTACATCCTGATTACAATCATTAAATTAAGTATTACCAATGTATTTGTATTAGGGCTGTCAAAAATATGACAGTGGTCAATCAGCTGTGTTTCAGAATGCACTCCAATGATAGAAGGAAATTGACTTTTTTTTATTTCATTTTTTTTGGTACAAATAGCTACTGAAGTCAACTAAGCTTAAAGGACTCATTTTTTAAAACAAGTCTTTTCTGCACAACAAGCTTGGATTTATGTGATCCAAAGTACAGCAAAAAACATGTTTTCTATTTAGATTTATTTTGAAATGTCATCTATTTCTGTGATTTCAAAGCTGAATTTTTAGCATGATTACTCCAGTCATTCTATTAGTCTGATTCTGAAAAATGTAATCCCATTAAAAGTGCTCAAAACATACAAATGTCTACAATGCAATATTTCTTCAAATAGTTAAATGTTTTAAAAACAATTGTTTAATAATAATAATAGTTTTCAGACTTCTTTAAATCAGGGCCTTTAACAAAGAACATTTAGTCACACTTTACAATAAGGCTTCATTAGTTAATGTTAATGTATTTACTAATGTGAAATAAAAATACTTGTACATCACTTATTAATCATAGTTCAACATTTACTAATGCATCATTAGAATTCATGCTTGTTAACATTATTTAATGCACCATGAGTTAACATGAACTAACAATAAACAAGTGCTCTTTCATGAACTAATGTTAGCAAAGATGAATAAATACTGCAATAAATGTGTCTGTGTTAATTTTATTAAATACATTAACTAATACACTAATACACCCTTATTGTAAAGTGGTACCGAAAATTTGCATAAAAATGGCCGGGTAAAAACTTGGGTCAAGTGATGTAGGCATATAATCAATCATAAGTAGCTTTTCTCTCTCGCTTGTCTCACCCAGAAGCACAGTGAGTTTTGTAGCGTACTGCTGCTCCAGCCGGTGTATGAGCACGTTTGACCTGCAGGCCTGACGATGGGCCTTCATCAACACTCATCGGCTTTTATCTTCACTGAGGACTTGAAGAAGCTCTCACCCGAAAGACAGACAGACAGACAGACAGACAGACAGAGAAAACTGACACCTGTCTGAGCTTCAGAAACACACCCCACTGTCCAGCATCCTGAGGAACAAAAACCAGCATTCGGGTAAACCCAATGACATTTCACAAATGAATGTAGAATGAGAGTCAAGGCATTGTTTGTTTTGGGATGATTACGGTTTACTGTAATCAAAAGGTTGCATACTGCATAATTTATTCTGTGTTTCAGAGTTGTGCTGTTCAATAGTTAATCATGACTTACTGTGTACAAATGAAGAGTTTGTGTTTACATGTGTAAATGTGTGTATGTTTATTATGCATATAGACATGGACACATTCATGTACACTGTAATAACAAAAAGTTGACTCAACCTAAAGTTTTAAGGCTACAAACTTCAGGACGTTTTTGAGTTGACTCAACTTTCAACCCAATTACGTTACTTGACTCAATTTAAGTTGAGTAAACTCAAACATGTCCTGAAGTTGAAGTCCTGAAGTTGAACACGATTAATCGTTAAACGGCAGAGAAACAAAAATGCTCATTCAGATAGGATTGTTTTGGGATTATTATGTAACCAAAAAGTTGCGTATTCTATCATTTATTCTATGTTTCAGAGCTGTGCAGTTCAATAGTTCATCGCGACTAACTGCATACAAATTAATAGTTAGTATTTACATGATATATGTGCATTTACTGTGTATATTTATTATGTATATAGAAATGCACACACATACATGTATATGTTTGAATATATTTACATATATGAATATAATATTCTAAGCGTATACATGGATGTGCAGTACGCACAAAATTATATTGTAAACGCAAACTTCATTTAGTATGCGATTAGTGGCGATTAATCATTCAACAGCAGAGAAACAGAACGCTCATATATTATTTTGGAATTATTACGGTAAAAAGTTGCATACTGTATTATTTATTCTGTTTCAGAGTAGTGCCGTTCAATAGATAATCATGACTAACTGCATACAAATTAAAAGTTAGTATTTACATAATATATGTGCATTGACTGTGTATATTGATTATGTATAGAAATGCACATGTATACTTGTATATACTTTACATATATTTACATATAATATAATATATATGAATATTTCATGCATTAATGTTTAATAAAAATGATATGCATATACTTTATTACGTAAACGCAAACTTCATTTTGTGTGTGATTAGTCACGAGTAATCGTTAAACAGCAGAGGATAAAAATGCTCAGTATTAGGGTTATTTTGGGAATTATTATGATTTATCCTGTGTTGAGCGTAGTGCTGTTCAATAGTTAATTGTGAATTACTGCATACAACTTAAAAGTTTGTATATACATTTGTAAATATGTGTGTATATTTATGCATATAGACATGGACACACATTCATGTACTTTGCATATATTTATAAATAATTTTGTCAGATAAATATTTAATGTATTAATATTTTGTAAAAAAAAAATCCATATGTATGGATGTGCAGTACACACAAAATTATTACATAAATGCAAACTTCATTTTGTGTGCAATTAGACACAATTAATCGTTAAATGTCAGAGAAACAAAACTCTTATTCAGATAGGATTGTTTTGGGATTATAATGGTTTACTGTAACCAGAAAGTTGCGAACTCTATCATTTATTCTCTGTTTCAGAGTAGTGCTGTTCAATAGATAATCATGGCTTTGCCATTGCGTTCACGTGCTCAACAGAAATGACTGTGATTGGCCGTGAAGGTCATCAATTCACCAAACTCACCTAAGTGTAGATACAGAAATACTGCGTTTTAAAGCTGCAAAGATCAGCTGGTCTGTCTATAAGCTGACAGATCCACTGATGAATCGACTGATCTTCACGGCTTTAAAATGCTCCAGTGTCCCTGTATCTGTGGTTACACACAGTAAACAGAAGTGAGTTTGGTGAACTGATGACCTTCACGGCCAATCACAGTCATTTCTGTTGAGCACATGAACACAATGGCAAAGCTGCGCTGTTTAAGAACGTGCTCAGTAGCGCTCAAATGTTAGTGGGAAATGGAGGTTTTAAAATTTTAGTAGCAATTGGGATCAAATTTGCTGTAACACTGACTAAAATGTTTTATTAGTTATATTATTATTTTATTATATTGTTGATATATATAATTTATGTATGAATATAAAAAAATTGTGCATATATTTATACACACACACACACACACATTTTATTTTGTACTGTATGTGATTAGTCATGATTATTCACTAAACAACACTATTTCAGAAGAGTTGTAGGTACTGTAAGATATGAATATTCTGCATTGTTGTCTTTAAAAGAGTGGCTAATGATATGCAAATTCATATCTCACTAGCGTTTTAAACCATGACCCCAGACTTTCCTCTAAAAGTGTCTTTTTTTAATAGTCATTTCAATCTGAGGCTCAAAGAACAGTGTGCGTGTGCTGTTATAAGAAAATCAAGTGTGTTGTTGTATGTTCTGGGTTTTCCCTAAAGCTCTGACTGCAGACTATATGAAGTGCCAATTGTCTTTTATGAATAATTGATTGTTGTCATTGAGGGCAGCTTGGAGGATAGCGCTATTTTTGTGAAAGATGATATTTTCAGAAGACATGAATTGTGGAGATTTGCTGGTGTTACACTAAAGCTGTGGGTGAGTGTGTCATACAGTCAGTATATATCAGCATTCTTTCACTGTCTAATATCCTTTGTCCCCTTTAAAAGACACGAGGAGGACATCATTGCCTAATGAATATGTCTGGATGTTGCAGTTTTGCTAAATTAAGTGAGACAGGTCTTCAAAACCTTTCTGCATTATTTTTAAAATGTTCACAATGTTATTCCTGTTTCATTTTTGCCAATTAATACTGGATAATTGTGCTCTTGTTTGAATGCCTGGCAATAATAACAATGTTTCAAACATCACCTGTGTTTTTTTAATTTTCATTTCTAATGTGCGCAGAGTTTAATTTAATTCATATTGAAGGGTTAGTTCACCATAAAAATGACATTTCTGGTATTAAATACTGACCCTCATGTTGTTGCAAAATCATCTGAGGCCTTGGTTCATCTTCAGAACTCAAGATATTTTAGATGAAATCCTATGAATTGAGTGTCTTTCTCTCTCCTCAGCCTGTATGAAGCTGTGATCCTGCATTGTCATTGCCTTCACTGAGGCTGTGCTGTTCAGTCTTTAGACAGCTCATAAATCAGCCTGAATGAAGCTTGTCTTGTACCATATTTCTCTGTCTCAGACTCTAGATTTCCCCCTGACAGGCCAACAGATGTCTCTCCTGCCTACTCTTCATCTTCTCAACAGAATCTCCAGGATGAGTTTTATTTTTTGGTCATCTGATGTAGATACATTTTTGATTATTAGTACCAATTCTCCTTTCGACAATAAAGAAACACAGAAATACATTTATTACTGTTATTTTAATAATATAGTAAAATAATGTATCTATTATCTTCATGTTTATGTCCTAAAAGGGTTCATTTATATTTTATACACAAATGTGGTTTTTATTTAGTGCTTGGCAAGTGCTCAAAACATTTGGTTCTATAATTCATACACAAATTAATTAAATATATCTTGATATAACACATCTATAAAATATAATAATAGCCTCGGCTGGCTCAGTTGGCGTTTCTGTGTGGAGTTTGCATATTCTCCCTGTGTTCGCGTGGGTTTCCTCCGGGTGCTCCGGTTTCCCCCACAGTCCAAAGACATGCGGTACACGTGAATCGGGTAGGCTAAATTGTCCGTAGTGTATGAGTGTGTGTGTGAATGTTTCCCAGAGATGGGTTGCGGCTGGAAGGGCATCCGCTGCGTAAAAATGTGCTGGATAAGTTTGCGGTTCATTCCGCTGTGGCGACCCCAGATTAATAAAGGAACTAAGCTTAAAGTGACATTTAAAGGCTGAACTGGGTTAATTTGGTTAACTAGGCAGGTTAGGGTAATTAGGCAAGTTGTATAATGAGTTCTGTAGATTATCGAGAAAAAAAATAGTTTAAGGGGCTAATAATTTTGTCCTTAAAATGTTTTTTAAATAATTAAAAACTCCTTTTTTCTAGCCGAAATAAAACGAATAAGACTTTCAACAGAAGAAAAAAATATTCTCAGACATACTGTGAACATTTCCTTGCTCTGTTAAACATCATTTAGAAAATATTTAAGAAAGAAATGCTAATAATTCTGACTTCAACAATATATATATATATATATATATATATATATATATATGTATATATATATATATATATATATGTATATATATATATATATATATGTATATATATATATATATATATGTATATATATATATATATATATATATATATATGTGTGTGTGTGTGTGTGTGTGTGTGTGTGTGTGTGTGTGTGTGTGTGTGTGTGTGTGTGTGTGAGAGAGAGAGAGAGTGTGTATGTGTATATAGACACAAACACATACTATTCGTGCTTGAATAACAATGAATATTGAATATGTTCTTTAAAATATTATTTTTTTATATTTTGAAGAACCGACAGATAGATAGATAGACCGAAAATGTTCATTGGATTTACAAATGTTTTTTAGGTGGCAAAGGTAGGTGGCAGCAAACAATTTATATTGGCTAAATTTAAACAAACAAATTACATTTAGTGATGTTCAACTCAATTTAAGTCAAACAGATTTGTTTGCAACCACATACCTTAAAATAATTGTGTAGGTAGATCCATTGAATTGTTTTGAGTGTAGATTATAATTAAATGAAAAGTTGATCTTCATAACACTTCACCTGTGTGATGTTGTGTAATTGTTTCTGGTGTGTATGCGGTGCTCCTGGTATGATCTGCTGTCACAGGAGCCCGGATCAATGTGTGTGAGGCTTTTGGTTAGTGAAGGGCACTGATGTCGGAGGAAGGAGGAGCCCGGAGATCTGATCATCCAGCAGCGCGTGCACGACACCGGCAATGACTCGCGAGAATAAAACACAAGAAACCTGCCGCTGTCTGACCGCTTTCCTCCGCTTTACGCTTCTTTTTGTCTTTCTCCAACTCGGAAAACACCCGGCTGAAGGTAAGAGCTCTTTTAATGTTGCAATATTGAGTCAAACGCGTGCTGGCTGTTTTCTTTTCAGTGATAAAGTACGGCAATTTCGCATCGATTTAATTCGCTAATGTTTTCTGATTGAAAACATCACTTGAGTGACGCGCGGGTGTGTGACGTCACCAACACTCGTGTTTTTGTTGTCGGTGATGCTTGGAAAAAAGTAAAAAGTTGTTTGAAACTGCGCAATTTATTGGAGAGTAGTCACGTTCAGTGTGGGAATTAACCTAATTTTTAGTACAAATAATATTTTAAAACAAGTTACCCACACATTAACCATGGTTTGGCTATGATAAGTGTATTTGTATTACTATTAGAACTGTGGATAGCTTGTAATCAGTACGCTGAACAGCAAGGTTATACACTGTTACTAATATACTATAAAACATGGTTTTAGTTTTTTTAAAGGTCGACTTTAACCAATCTTTAGCATGCCTTTCTTTTATATGGTAGTGTGTGTATAATGTCAGAGAATCACACAGAATATATTAATCTAGTTGTTCATTCATTCATTTTCTTGTCGGCTTAGTCCCTTTATTAATCCATGGTCACCTCAGCGTAATGAACCGCCAACTTATCCAGCATACTTTTACGCAGCGGATGCCCTTCCAGCCGCAACCCATCTCTGGGAAACATTAACACACACTCATACACTACGGACAATTTAGCCTAGCCAATTCACCTGTACGCATGTCTTTGGACTGTGGAGGAAACTGGAGCACCCAGAGGAAACCCACGCCAACACAGGAAAAACATGCAAACTCCACACAGAAATTCTATCTGGCCCAGCCAGGACTCGAACCTCTGAGGCTCTGAGGCAACAGTGCTGTATATGAGTATATGTAAATATATTTTTATGCAAGTGTGATAAGGCTAGGCATGGTTGTTGATGCCAGACGAGCTGGTCTGAGTATTTCAAAAACTGCAAATCTACTGGGATTTTCATGCACAACCATCTCTAGGGTTTATAGAGAATGGTCAGAAAAACAGGAAATATCCAGTGAGTGAGTGGCAGTTCTGTGGGCGCAAATGCCTTTTTGATGCCAGTGGTCAGAGAATAATGGCCAGACAACAGACAGGCAACAGTAACTCAAATAACCACTCGTTACAACCGAGGTATGCAGAAGAGCATCTCTGAATGCACAACACGTCCAACCTTGAGGCGGATGGGCTACAGCAGCAGAAGAATCTTCTGATGGCTACTTTCAGCAGGATAGGGATGTGCCGTCGACAAATCTGCAGCAACTGTGTGATGCCATCATGTCAGTACAGACAAAGGATTAAAGCAGTTTCTGAAGGTAAAGGGTGTCCAACACGGTACTAGTAAGGTTTACCTAATAAAGTGGCCAGTGAGTGTATATGTATATGTATATGTGTGTGTGTGTGTGTGTGTGTGTGTGGTCAGTGGCAACAAAAGAGCCATAAACGTCCGTCTGATGGCCTCTTCACATGTGTGAAAGTAAACAGATTGACCATCTTTCATAAATGATGCTCGATAAATACCGAAATCGAATGAAATTGTCTCTAAATGTTAGCTCCTCGGTCTGGCTTCCTGCAGACCCACGAAGGTTGCTTTTGTCAAGTGTAAAAAGAAACGTCTGCGCTTTTGCCAAATCAAACTGCACATTAGATTTGAGGAAGGAGCACGAGTGTGCTTTATTAGACCAACTGTTAGGATTCAGTGATCGCCGCCAAACCTGAGAGCTTGAGGCTTGGCTCTGTGCCTCCGGGACTGCACTGCCAGCTACTCCACACTTTATTATTGCTCGTGGGCTTTTTGGCAGTGCTTAAATACGGTATAATAGTGGATGTTTAGGCTATGTGGCATTTGTTATTGCGCTACAGGTAAAAAATGCTGGGTTTTTGTAACCCTAATATGGACAAATCCATCATTGGGTTAATTTTACAGTTACATTTAAATTGGTCTTCTTAACCCAATGGTGTTTGTTCATATTTGACTCAATAGGTTACGATAACCCAGTGAGAAAGAAGAATGTCTGTTAAAAAAAATGTTGTTAGACATTAGATATTAGATATTAAGGTCAGTTTGTGAAAATTGTGTTGACGTTTTTGACTTATAAAATGTCATTCTTGAATATTTTACTTTATTATTACATGATTCTTTGATATAAATGACTCTGGTTAGTCAGTTGTGGGATTTTACAGTTTACAAATGTTTCTTGCGCAATGCCATACCTGTCAACCCTCTTGTTTTTGCCGGTTTTCTCCTCTATTTTACCATTGTATATCTTGCTATGATCTGGTTTAAGTATTCTTCTGTGTTTCTCCCATATTTTAATTATTTTTATTTATAAAAAGTGAAAGTAGCATCATAGAGCCGATCTCAAATGAGAGATAATTGCAAGAGCTGTTCAAGAGAATTATGCAGTTTTCTCTTACGAATGCTTTTGAAAACAGTTTTGCTTGGGTTTAACGAACAGTTTACATCAATTGTTCGCAGGGTGATCTTTGTGACTTCCATGATGGATGTGTATCTACTGTACATACAATAAAACGTACCCCAATTAACATATTTCAGATTAGTAAAGATGCAGACGGCCCCCACTTGTGGATTTGTCATCTGAAACGTTTAATGTACACAATCCGATTTTTTATTTTTTTTTGTATTTCAATATATATTTTTTGTATTTTAGGTTTCGCAAAAATCTACATTGAGGCACATATTTCAGTTGAGCTTGAGTTGTTTACCACACATATACTGTTCATGCACAACATCTTTTGTGTCTTTACTGTCCGATCACTCTTTTGACCTTGTGGGTAGGAGGATCACCCGTGCTTTCCTGATCTAATTGGAGTTGGCTTAGACTTCATTTAATCCTGTTGCTCAAACCAATCCTCTTTAGATCTGTTAAGGATCTTTGAAGTGACCTTTGACCCTGTAATGGTAGTATTGCATAGCACTTCACATATTTCTGTTGCTTCAGGGGTCTGATGAGCATCTGCATGTAAACAAAGTTTAGGATGTCTCTGTAAAACAAAAATTAAAGGTTAAAACAGATTGTGTGTCAATTTTTATACGTTATTAAATACTTTTTACATGTAGTTTAAAGGAATTTTTCGTCTTTTGTTGTCATTCACCTTTCCTTTTATGTCTTTAATTTATGTGATCTAAAAGCTGATCAAAGTATGTTTTACTATTAGTTTTCTACTTTAAATTTGAGTAATTCAGTGTTACTGTTTTAATCTATTTTTGTAATTGGCTCATTTATTGAAAATTTTAGAGCGAAATGACTAAAGGCTGATTTATACTTCTGCGTCAAGTGCTCGGATATGTTCTGGCGCAGCCTGCGCGTGGACACATAGCCCTCACTGTGGCTGATTCTGACGCGCACCTCTCAAAAATTGTAACCACATGTCACAGCGACATGTAGCGCAAGCACTGTGATTGGTCGGCTTGGTATCGCTGGTGATTGTGGGCGAACCCATTTGAGAGAGTCTTTACAAGTGTGCAGTCCCGTGAAGAAGCTCCAGATAAAAAGTTTTGTTTTGTGTTTACCTTATGATTATTGTTGTTGCACGTCCTCTGGTTCCCGCCTTCAAAAGTTTGAGCTATTTTTACATTAAGGTAGTGCTCAGCAAAAACATGCCAGCGAAGAAACTCGACACAGAAGAGCATAAAATGCTAGTGTTTTGGAGGTGTTAATGCAAAGCAACACAAACAGCACGCAGAAGTATAAATGCACGACAACGAACAAGGCATGAGCCATGGGTCACGCCAATCACTTGATGCAGAAGTATAAACCATGCTTAACATTTAGGACTGATTATTCAAATTCAAATTGTGTTTGTCACATTTAGAGTCATACACAGTATGAAAAACGGTGAAATGCTTACACAACCACCTGTGACACTAGCTTTGTTTACATCCACCAATTTTTATGTGCATTTTAGATATGCATATAAAAGAACGCTTAATGGAAAGCCATGATTGGCATAAGTTTTAAAAATCCACATAAAAAACGTACAGTACGAGTAGGATAAACCTTTTATTCGAGAAGATAAGATGCACATGAACTACGATGGAAACATTTTACTAAACAAATTCCAGTATGCGCTTTAAAAGAAAGCCATGTGATTTTGTTATAAGAGATTATGTGGTGATAAAAATGTGTGTGAACGGACAAACCAGCAGGATGAGCACATTATAAAACATCTGAAAAGTTGTTTTGGTCATTCTAAAACACCTTAACCGTTTCAGTATTAGTGTTATTATATTATTAATGACCTCCAGAATAGTCAAGAGTGTCCGTGCTATGCGTCTCCTGTAGAGATGCAACGATTAACCAATTTCACTATTAACTGTGTTTGTATTTGTAACTGTTAATTAATCGTAAAGACTTCTTTACACTGCATTTCTGCTCGGAACAAAATTCTTTTTCTTTTTCACAGTTCTGCCAACTGTGCTAGTTTAAAGTTCCGAGCTTGTACGCTGAGGCTAATATCTACACACACTGGATTACCTATAGCTGTGGCTATTAACTGAGGGCTGTTGACAAGTCGTGACTTTCGGATGTGCAAGTTTGCTATTTCTTTTCTTGCATGCATATTGGGAGTGACATGCATGCGGTGCATCGCAAGTCACGTGACAAGAACTGACCAATCAGCTTCATACTTTGTATAAAATATATACATTTCTACTCCAAAGAGAAAAAAAATACAAAATGAAAAATACCAAACAAGTTATAGTTGATAATATTTATCTAGATTATACTTCATGTAGTTGATCAAAAGTGCCTTTCAGAGAGAGAGGTTCAGCAGCCTTCGACTACATTTGTTCTCTTTAAAGAGCCCATATTATACATGAAATAGGGTCATATCTTGGTTGTAAGGGTCTCCAACAACAGTTTAATATGCATGCAAGGTCAAAAAACTCTTTCATGGTCTTATAATCTGCATTTATTTTTACCTAATTATCCCAGCGACTCCCGTATGAATCGTCCAGTGATTCA